GTCCCTCCGCCGCCCGCCGCCGCTCCCCATTGGCCCGCTCGCCAAGAGGGAGGGGGCCGGGCCCGCTCCGCTCCGTCCCTCAGCAGCGCCTCGGCGGTGGCCGCGGGTGGAGGCCGCCTCGCAGCGCCCGGGCCCGCCCGCCCCCCGCCCCGCTCCGCTCCGCTCGGCTCCCCCCGCGCCATGAGCGGTGAGGACGGGCCCGGGGGCTGCGGGCTCGGAGGGGAGCGGGGGGGGGGTTGGAGCGCAGCGCAGAGAGGGGCGCGATCGGCGGGGCCTGAGGCGGCTCCGCCCCGGGCCGGGCCGGGCCGCGCCGAGGAGGGGATGGCGGCGGGGGGGGGGGGAGGGAGGGAGGGACCCGGGGGAGGGGGAAGGCCTCGGGGGAGGGACGGGGCGGCGGGAGCGGAGGAGGGGGAGAGATGGGGAGGCCCCGATGATCATGGGGGGGCACCGGACATGGGGGGGGGGCCCGGTCCCGTTTCCCCCGAGGGCGGCGGGGGGCGGATGCGGTTGGGGACGGGGGGAACCGGGGGTTGCTGAGCGGGGTTGGGGCGCAGGGATCCCCCCCCACAATGCGGGGTTGGGGCCGCCGGAGCCGGTTCCGCGGCGGGGTCAGCGCGGGGCAGCCCGGCGGAGGGGATCCCGTCCGCGGGGGGATCCGATGGGGTGGATCCGCGGAGGGGCCGGGGCAGGAGGAAGGGAAAGGGGAGGCCCGGGAGGGGAGGAGCCGGAGCGGGGCCGGGCCCTGTCCCGCTGCCAAGCTCCGCTTTGGCAGCTCCTCCGCTTCCCAGCGCCGGGGCCGCTGGAGCTCGGTCCCGTCCCCACCTTCCCTCCTCTCCCCCGGCCTCGGCCGCTGCTCCGGCCCGGCCATGTCCGGTAACCGGCGGTGCCGCTTTCCCCCCGCGCAGACCAGGAGAGCCCCGACGAGATGGCGGCGATGAAGGCCGAGAAGGGCGAGGGAGATGCGAGCAGCACGGGCAGCGCCGAGGCGCAGGTGAGAGCGGGCGGGGAGCGCCCGGCCCCGGCCCTCGCTGTCCCCGGTGGCAAAGTCCAGGCCGCGGCGCTGCCGCCTCCCTCCCCCTTCCCCTCCCCGGGCCGGGGCTTCCCCTCCTCGGCAGCGCGGCCCCGTTCGCCCCCTTGGCTGCCTCCCGGGGGGGGTTTTCCCCGTGGGCCCGGTGGGGGGGGGGGGTGTCCGGAAGCGGGGTTTGGCCTTCCCGGGAGGCTCCTCCCTTCACCCGCTTCCATCTGTTTGCTGCTCCCTTTACTTTCGGCCGGCCCAGCCTTAACCCCTCCTTCCCTGTGCTTCCCTTCTCCGGGAATCACAGCTTCTTTAACTCCTCCTTCCTTAGGAATCACAGCTTCTTTAACTCCTCCTTCCTTAGGAATCCCAGCCTCCTTATTTCCTCCTTCTCTGGGAATCACAGCTTCTTTAACCCCTCCTTCCTTAGGAATTCCAGCCTCCTTATTTCCTCCTTCTCTGGGAATCACAGCTTCTTTAACCCCTCCTTCCTTAGGAATCACAGCTTCTTTAACCCCTCCTTCCCTAGGAGTCTCAGCCTCCTTATCCCCTCCTTCTCTGGGAATCACAGCTTCTTTAAGCCCTCCTTCCTTAGGAATCACAGCCTCTTTAACCCTTCCTTCCTTGGGAATCACAGCCTCTTTAACCTGTTCTTCCCTGGGAATCGAAGCCTTCTTATCCCCTTCTTCCCCAGGAATCACAACTTCTTTAATCCCTCCTTCCCCAGGAATCACAGCCCCTTTAGCCCCTCCTTCCCCAGGAATCACAGTCTTTAACCTCTCCTTCCCCAGGAATCACAGCCCCTTTAACCCCTCCTTCCCCAGGAATCTCAGCCTCTTTAACCCCTCCTTTGCTTCCCACCCGCAGGAATCTCAGCCCTCCCCACTGGCCTTGTTGGCCGCCACCTGCAGCCGGATCGAGTCTCCCAATGAGAATTCCAACAGCTCCCAGGGCCAGCCGGGCGGGAGCAGCGAGCTGGACCTCAGCGCGGCCGCTGCCCAGCTCGCCCAGTCGGCCAATGGCTGGCAGATCATCTCCACGGGCTCCAGCACCCCCACGGGCTCCAAGGAGCCCGGCGCCAACGGCACCAACGGCGGCGACGCCAAGAGCCGCCCGGTGAGCGCGGGGCAGTACGTGGTGACGGCCGCCTCGGGCCTGCAGAACCAGCAGGTGCTGGCGGGGCTGCCGGGCGTCATTCCCAACATCCAGTACCAGGTGATCCCTCAGTTCCAAACCATCGACGGGCAGCAGCTCCAGTTCGCCACGGCGGCGGCGCCGGCGCAGGTCAACGTGCAGCAGGACGCGTCCGGGCAGCTCCAGATCATCCCCGGCACCAACCAGCAGATCCTGACGGGCCGCGCGGGGACGAGCAACCTCATCGCCATGCCCAACCTGCTGCAGCAGGCCGTGCCCATCCAGGGCGTGGGGCTGGCCAACAACGCGCTCTCGGGGCAGGCCCAGTACGTGGCCAACGTCCCCGTGGCTCTGAACGGGAACATCACCCTGCTGCCCGTCAACAGCGTGGCCGCCAGCCTGGCGCCCACCTCGCAGACCGTCACGTTGAGCAGCTCCAGCTCCCCGGAGAGCAGCTCCCAACCGGCCACCTCCGGCTCCGCCATCAGCTCCGGCGCCACGGCCACGTCGCAGGCCAGCTCCGGAGCCTTCTTCACCAACGCCAACAGCTATTCCAGCACCACCACCACCGGTAACGGGGGCATCATGAGTTTCTCCACCAGCAGCACGGTGGGCAGCAACGTCCAAGCGCAGACGCCCCAGAGGGTCAGCAGCGTCCAGAGCTCGGACTCTCTGCAGAGCCAGGTTTCTGGGGTGCCCTTGCAGTCGGGGCAGCAGAAAGAGGGGGATCAGGGGCAGCAATCGCAGCAGATCCTGATCCAGCCGCAGCTGGTGCAGGGGGGGCAGACGATCCAAGCCCTGCAGACCACGCCGCTCTCCGGGCAGACCTTTGCCACTCAAGCCATCTCACAGGACACCCTGCAGAACCTGCAGCTCCAGGCCGTCCCCAACTCGGGGCCCATCATCATCCGCACCCCGACGGTGGGTCCCAACGGGCAGGTGAGCTGGCAGACCATCCAGCTCCAGAACCTGCAGGTCCAGAACCCCCAGGCGCAGACAATCACCCTGGCCCCCATGCAGGGAGTGTCACTGGGGCAGACGGGCAGCACCAGCACCACGCTCACCCCCATCGCCTCCCTCCCCAGCGGCACCGTCACCGTCAACGCTGCCCAGCTCTCCTCCGTGCCCGGCCTCCAGACTATAAACCTCAGTGCCTTGGGAGCGTCCGGCATCCAGGTCCACCAGCTCCAGGGGCTGCCTCTGGCCATCGCCAACGCTGCCGGTGAGTTGGGATTCGGGGGTCCCCTCGTGGTGCCTTCTCCATGGCCGGGCAGGTGGAACCGCGTCGCCTGCTTGGGGCCAGGCTGCTGCTGGGGCCACGTGGAGGTGGCAAAGGGGCTGGTGCTGAGCTCGCTTTCGGGGGGGTTTTGGCTCACGGAGACCATCATGGGGGTCTCAGGTCGGGGTTCTCAGCTGCAGGAGCCCATGGGAGGAGTCCGTGCCTGGGAAAAGTCGGGAATCACTGGAATCCCCCTGGAAAACAGGGACCGTTGAGGAGCTGCCTGGCACGGGAGGAGGAAAGGGCTCCTCAAGTGGGCGTTGAGCCTAAAGCTGGCGGCTGCCTCCCCCAGGGCGCCCTGCTCCATTCCCTATGGATCCATCCCCAGAGTTCCCACAAGCCCGTAGAGGGTGTGTGGATGTGGGGTGTGAGGATGTGGGGTGCGAGCCTGAAGGCTGCTCCGTTCCCTATGGATCCATCCCCAGAGTTCCCACAAGCCCGTAGAGGGTGCGTGGATGTGGGGTGTGAGGATGTGGGGTGCGAGCCTGAAGGCTGCTCCGTTCCCTATGGATCCATTCCTTGGTCTCCCGACAGCTCCCAGCAGCCCGTGGTGGAGGGTGTGTGGACAGAGGGCTGCTCGGCTTCCCATTGGGAATGCTGTGCCTGCCCATAGAGCTGCCGGCTCCTGCCAGAGGAGGGGGGGCTGAAGGGCTCCGCTGGCTTTCCCAGTGTTTTCCCTTCCCTGTTTCCTGTTGTTGTCCTGGCTCTGGCTCTGGCTCTGGCTGGGTTTGCTCCCAGCTCCCCGTTGCTCAATGCTCTTCCCGCTCGCCCGGGCTTGTTTTCCAGCAGCGTTATTCCAGGCTGTTCCTGCAGCCGCTCGGCTCATGGCATTATCCCGATCCTTGGAATTCCGGAGCAGAGGCACCTGCCCGGGCGGGAGCTCGCTCCTGTTTGCAGCCCAGGGGATCCACGGGATGTGCCTGGTTTGGGAGGTGCCGGGAAGCACGCGGGCAGCTCCCGGTTCCTGTGCTCGTGCTGGGCTCTGCCCTCGGAGGTGGGACAGGGAGGAACGTTCCGGAGCCCACCCATCCCGGGAGCCGCCTCCTCCTCCTCCTCCTCCTTCTCCTCCTCCTTCGCCTCCTCCTCCTCTCCCTCCAGCTCGGCTCCTGATCCATGGTGACAGCACCGGGATGCAGCCGAGCTCTTCCCTCCTCCTCCTCCTTCGTCCCGGCAGCACCTGGGTGCTGCTGATCCCAGCTCCTCGGAGCGGCCGTGGCTGAGGCTCCCGATGGGATTCCAGGGCTCTGGCACCCGGCACCGGTCGCACCGGTTGTGCGGCTTCGCTCCACGCCTGGCAAGGGCTCTGGTTGCGCCCTTGTCACCCAAACCGGCTCCCCTCTGGGGAGCTCAGCACCCACACTGGGTGCTTGTGGGTCCGTCCGTGGCTCTGAGCATCCTCTGCTGCAATGGGGGCTCCAGGCGTGGATCCTGCCTGGTCCGAGCTCTCCAACAGTGACTTAAGAGACCAGGCCCTCTGCTTCCCAGTGCTTCCCTCTGCTTCCCAGTGCTTCCCTCTGCTTCCCAGTGCTTCCTTCTGCTTCCCAGTGCTTCCTTCTGCTTCCCAGTGCTTCCTTCTGCTTCCCAGTGCTTCCTTCTGCTTCCCAGTGCTTCCCTCTGCTTCCCACCTTGCTGCTGCCAGGCTTCCCAAGTGCTTCTCCTCTCCTTCCCCACCAGCTTCCTTTGGGATCACTGGAGCTGGGGGGGGGGGGGGGCGCTGCTGGTGACATTCCTGCTTCTGGTGGGACAGGGAAGATGCCCCTGGAGCAAACGGCACCTGGGAAAGAGCCTTGGGAATGGTGGTGCTGGGGCAGCACGGGCCCTGTGTGTGCTCATGGGTGTTAATGGGGGTCCCTGCTCCGTGCTGGATGTGCTCAGTTCCAATGGGAAGTGACCCCCCGTGGTCAGACCCGCCCTGGAGCCGGCTCCGCTGCAGCCCAGGGATGGGATTTGGGAAGCGTTGTGCTGGGGCTTCCCTGCCCCTTCCAACCCTGCCTTGGGGAGAGGGGAAGGGCTCTGGAGCTCCGTGTGCATGGATCTGGCAGGGAAGTGGCTCTGCCCCACACGCGTGTCCCCAGCAGAGCCCTGCCTGGCTCAGGTATGTGTGGGGGGTCAAACCCCACATCCAAGGCTGGGAATTCCAGGGGGGGATGGAGCTGGTGTGGGGCTGGAGAGGGGCAGCCGTGGGGTCTTTGTGGGATGGGCTCCTTTAGGGCTCCATCCATCATCTGTGATGGAATGGAGCGAGGGGGATGCAGCAGGAGCATCCCCCTGGAAGGGAAAAAGGGGGAGGTGATCCCTTGGGATCCACAGCCCCAGCTCCAGGCTGTTGTTCCTCAGGGCTGTGTCTGGGCAGGACACAAAGCCCTGATTGTCCCTGCTCTGGGTTTAAGGGGAGCTTTGTGGCAGGGATGAGACATCCCCATGGCATCGAGGGCAGGGGCAGGTTCTGTTCCCTGTCCCCTATGGCAGCCTGTGTCCCTATGGGCAGGCTGTGTCCCTATGGGCAGGCTGTGTCCCTACGGATAAGCTTTTGTCCCCATGGGCAGGCTCTGCCCCCCATGGGCAGGCTCTGTTCCCTATAGGCCGGTTCTGCCCCCCATGGGCAGGCTCTGTCCCCTATAGGCCGGCTCTGCCCCCCATGGGCAGGCTGTGTCCCCTATAGGCCGGCTCTGCCCCCCATGGGCAGGCTGTGTCCCCTATAGGCCGGCTCTGCCCCCATATAGGCCGGCTCTGCCCCCCATGGGCAGGCTGTGTCCCCTATAGACCGGCTCTGCCCCCCATGGGCAGGCTCTGTCCCCTATAGGCCGGCTCTGTCCCCCATGGGCAGGCTCTGTTCCCTATAGGCCGGCTCTGCCCCCCATAGGCTGGCTCTGCCCCCCATGGGCAGGCTCTCTCCTGGTCCCCAGCCCCTGACACATCGGGGATGTTGTGCAATTTCCTGCCCTGGGCTCCCCGTTCCTTCCGCTCTCCCCGGCTCTCCCCTCTCCTTGCTGTGGGTTCTTTGCCAAAGGAAGCCCAAGAGCCCCCGGGCTGTGCTTGGGACCAGGGGGGATGCGGATGCCTGCGGCAGCGGGGCAGGAGGTGGAGCTGTGGGTCCATGGGGCCGGGCCGCTTGGTGCTGGTTGGACCGGTTGGGTGCTGCACCCGTGACTCCCCAGGGAGGTTCCCTCCTCCCCTTCCTTTATCTGTGCTGTTCCCCCTCCCTCCCTCCTTTATCAGCCCCTGCAGGAGCCGATCCTGGCCCTGGGGCTGGGGTGGCTCCGTTCCAGAGCTCCGGCTCCCACCCTCGTGTCCTTGAGCTGAGGCCCGGTCCGGGTCCCGGGGCAGGATGGGTTCGTGGTGGCAGCGATGCAGGGACAAACCCCCCATGGGGGACCTTGGAGCAGCCTGAAGGGGCTGCAGGGAACCTGGAGAGGGGCTTGGGACAAGGGATGTAGGGACAGGGACAGGCCAAGGGGAATGGCTTGAACCTGCCCGAGGGGAGACTGAGATGAGCTCTGGGGCAGAAGCTCTTCCCTGTGAGGGTGCTGAGGCGCTGGCACAGGGTGCCCAGAGAAGCTGTGGCTGCCCCATCCCTGGCAGAGCTCAAGGGCAGGTTGGACACAGGGGCTTGGAGCAAGCTGCTCCAGTGGAAGGGGTCCCTGGGGCTGGGTTGGAGCTTTGAGGTCCCTTCATCCCGAACCATTCCAGGGTTCTCCCTGCTGGGGATGTGGTTGAAAACCGGAGCCCTGGGGCTCAGAGGCAGCGCTTGGCCGTGGTGGATGGATGGGAGGAGCAGGGAGGTTCGGGAGTGCTGGGAGGTGCCTGCGGGGCTTTCCCTGCCTCCTGCGGGTGCTTTGGCCTGGGGTGAGGCTCACAGGGATCCCCGATCCCCCCTGCTCCGAGCTCAGCATCTCCCTCCTCCCATCTCCCACATCACCGGGGGCTTCTCCTCCTGCCTTGCCTTGGTGGGACCTGCCTGTGCTCTGGGATGAAGGGGCCCTGGCAAAGCCACGGCATCAGCAGGGCTGGAGGCTCCATCCCAGCTCCACAGGGATCCAGTGGAATGATGAGGGCAGAGGAGACGTGTGTTGGGTTTGCAGCACCACAGCGGTGCTGAGCACCTCCTGGGCTCCGGGGTCTGCAGGTGGATGAGGGGATCCCAGCAGCCTCCATCAGCCCAAGGATGTCCAAGCCCTCAAGCTCCAGGTGCCACCAGAGAGGACTCCCAAGCTCAGCTCCTGTTCCCGCTCCGCTGTCCGTGGCACTATGGAATGCCCGAGACAGAGGCTCCTTTCCCTGGGTGCTGCAGCCGGACTCATCCTGCACCTGAGGAGATCAAATGAGACCCAAGTGAAGGGGAGCAGGATCCAAAGCCGCCGTTGGTCCTTGGTGCAGCTCGGCCCTGCTGTGTCCTGGCTCCATCAACCCCCCCTGGAGGAGGAGGAGGAAACAGGGAGGATGTGACTGGGAGCAGGGAAAGGTGGATTTGGGGCTGTCTCTCCAGGCAAGTGCCCGTTGTGTTGTGTGGGGCTGGCCCAGCCTGGGTGCTGCTGGGCTTTGCCTTCGGCTTCCTCCGGCCTCTTCCTTGCGCCTGGAAGCTGGAAGCAGTTCGGTGTCGGTCCTGGTGATGGCTTCCCCTCCTCTTCCTCACTCCTGTGCCCCTGCCGCAGAGCTGGCCCCAGAGCCCCCATTGCTTTGCTTGGCTCCTTGTCCCTGCTCCCCCCTGACCCCCCCATGGGGTCTGCCCTCTATGGGCAGTCCTCACCTCGTTGGAGGTGAGGGACAGGACCCACCTGGTCCTGAGGGCAGGCCCTGCCCAGGCTCTTCCCTCCTGGCTCCCCAGCATCCCCAGGGATTGACCCCATCTCCCTGCTCTTTTCCATGGGTCCTGACCCGAGCGTGGAGCCGCCTCGGGAGAGCCTCAGCCTCTAAACGGGCCCTGTGAGCGGAGGGAACCATAAATCAGGCTTCCTCCGGGATCTGCGGTATTCCAGAGCCTGGAGCATCCCGAGAGGTGCAGGGTGAAGCCTCTGCCCACAGGAGCCTTCATTCAGTTCTCCCCTGATGGGGTGTGAGCCCCAGATTGCCCCAAGGAGGATATGGGGGGTTTCACCCCCACTCTCCCTTCCCCCCCGATGTGTCAGAGCCATTCCCAGCCATCGGAGCTGGATTCTGCCCCTTCCCAAGCACGTTGTGTCTCCTCCTTCCTGCTTCCCGCAGCATTCCCACCCGGCAGCATTAAACCCCTGCTGGGTTTAGACTCTGGACAAGAGCTGGAAGGGGGCAGGAGCGGAAAGGTTTGGTCCTGGAATTGCGGGAGCACCGGGATGGAGCAGCCAAGGTTCCCGTGTCCTCTGTGCACAGCCCCGGGCTGGTGCTGGTGCTCCATGGCTGCAGGGTCCCTGTCACTGGGGTCCTGCTGGTGGCGGGGGGGGGGACGGGACCAGAGCCCCATCGTGGGGCTGAGCTGATCCCAGTGGATCCATCCCGGCTCTCGCTGGCAGCAGCTTCGGGTTCTGAGTGCTTCCTCCTGGGAAGCCACTGGGCTCATGGACTGCTTTGTGTCCACGGCCACCGGAGCAGGATGCTCCAAGCCCCATCCAACCTGGCCGGGAAGGTTTCCAGGGCTGGGGCAGCCGCAGCTCCTCTGGGCGCCCTGTGCCAGCGCCTCAGCACCCTCACAGGATCAGGGCTGTGGGCACGGAGCGCTGGGAGCATGGGAAGTGTCACAGCCGAGCCATGGATCTGTTCCGGGTGGGATTTCTCCTTTCCCAAGCCTTGTCCTGGCTCCCGTCCTGGGCACCACTGACACCTGCTGGTACCAGCCCCAAGGGGCCGGGAAGGCTGCCAGGAATTCCACGTCATTCCCTGCTTGTGAAACTCCCTCCTGGCTGCAGGAGCAGGGCCCAGCCTGCAGCTACCGGGGCTGGGGCTTCATCCTGCAGCTCCAGCTCCTCCCTGGGGATGCTTGGATGCTCCCTCGCGCCTGGGAGCTGGGAAACCAGGCCTCGGGAAGGAGGTTTCAGCCCTTTGCTGAGGGTTCTGGTGCCAGCAGAGCTTCCCAAAGGCTGCTCCAGCAGCAGCACCCCTGCCATGACGTGGCTCTGCAGGAGGGGTTTGGGATCGCTGCCTTTGGAGACCTCGCTTTGTGGTGGTGGTGTTCCCTGTTTAGGAAGCAGCTCCCAGGTGCCGGGCGGAGGGGATGGAGCGAACCTGGCACCACGGGGTTCCTCCCATCCCAGTGTCCCCGTCAGGCCGGCGCATTCCTTCCCAGTAACTCATCCCCACTGGAGCCAAAGGGGAGCTGCTGCTTGCTGAGCAGCATCAGGAGAGCTCTTGGATGGGGCCCGTTGACCCAGCCTCATTCCCAACAGCGGGATGGAATTCCCCCAGGAGCCGGTGGTGGGACGCGTGCCCGTGTTGAACCACCACCGTGTTCAGGTGCTGATCCCAGTGTGGATCCATCCTGGCTCCCTGCTTGTGAACGGACGGTGGTAGGAAAAGGTGAATGTTGGGGGCTGGATTCCAGGCGGGAATGCCCTGTTGGGAGCTGCAGCTGGGAATCGCTCCCTGAGCCTCTTGTCTCCGGCTTTCCAGCAGGAAATAATCCACTTGGGAAAGGGGGGGGTGCGCAGAGCACCCCAATGGCCACGGAAACCCTGAGGCTTCCAAGCTTCCGACCCCTCAAGCCCCCCGTGCCGATAGGAATGGGTTCTGTTTGCCCTGGGAGCGCCGTGGCGTGACCCTGCCGTTCCTATGGCTTTGATAGTTGGGAATTGCTCCTTGGGAGCGGGAGCGGAGCCGGATCCCTTTCATCTGCCTGTAAATCCCTGTGTGTAATCCCGGCACCGGAGCGGGGAGATAACATCGTCCCGACGGATGCTGCTGTCTCCAGCCCGCTTTATTTATGTCTCCCTGTTACATGGGGGGGGGTGGGAATTGCGTCTGCACTGCAGAAATCCCCTGGGATTGCAGCTTTCCCGAAGGGGAAAGGGCCTCATCCAGCCCCAGGGCCAGGCATGGCAGGTCCCTCGCTGCTCTGTCTCCGGGATGCGCTGCTGGATTCGGGCCCGGAATAGCTGGACCAGCCGGGGGAGGGCTTGTTTGTCCCTGGGATGCGGCTTGCCTGGGGCATCGTGGCCTTGCTGGAGGGCTGTGGGAGGCAGGCCCGGCCTTGGGAAGCAGCAGGGTGGCATTCCCAGGGCTCGGAGGCCGGGAGCGAGCCGGGATGAAGCCGTTCCTGTGGCTCCACGAGTGGGGAATGGCTGCACCCCCCCAATCCCCGCGCTGATCCCGGTGTTTTCCCACTGCCAGGTGACCACGGAGCTCAGCTGGGGCTGCACGGAGCCGGCGGGGACGCGCTGGGGGGCGAGAGCGCGGCCGTGGAGGAAGGGGAGGCCAGCCCGGACCCCCAGCCCCAGCAGGGCCGCAAAGTGCGGCGGGAGGCCTGTACCTGCCCCTACTGCAAGGACAGCGAGGGCAGGTGAGCGGGGGGGTGTGGGATGGGATGGGTGGGATGGGTGGGATGGGATGGGATGGGATGGGTGGGAAGGGATGGGATGGGTGGGAAGGGACCCCTTCCACTGGAGCAAGCCCCTGTGTCCATCCTGCCCTTGAGCACTGCCAGGGATGGGGCAGCCACAGCTTCTCCATTCCAGCCTCCCACCACCCTCCTGGGGAAGAACCTCTTCCCCATATCCCATTGGACTCTTCCCTCTTCCACTTGGAAGCCCAAACTCCTCATCCCACCCCTCCATCCCTTGTCCCAAGCCCCTCTCCAGGTTCCCTGCAGCCCCTTCAGGCACTGGAGCTGCTCTCAGGTCCCCCCTTCCCGCAGCAGAGGGGCAGGATCCCCTCCTGGAGCTGCTGCATCCGCTCTGGGGGTGCAGCCCCACACTGGGGGGGTTCTGGGCTCAAGCCTGAAGCCTGCTCATGGGGACCCCAAGTTCCTCTCCTCAGGCTGCTCCATCCCAGCCCCCCCCAGCCTGTGCCAGGAACAGGCTGACCCCCCCCCCCCGCCTTGTTTGGCCCCATTCTCACTCCCCCTCCATTCCCAGTGTCCCAGCGTTGTTTTAACTCTGCCCTTGGGCCTCTTTCCCTCAGGAGCTCTGGGGATCCAGGGAAGAAGAAGCAGCACATCTGCCACATCCCGGGCTGCGGGAAGGTCTACGGCAAAACCTCGCACCTGCGGGCTCACCTGCGGTGGCACACGGGGGAGAGACCCTTCGTGTGCAGCTGGCTGCTCTGCGGCAAGCGCTTCACCCGCTCCGACGAGCTCCAGCGGCACAAGCGCACGCACACAGGTCAGGATGCGCAGGGATCCAGGGCTGCTTCCCTGGCTCCTCTTCCCAAGCCTGAGATGGGGGGGGAACAGGCTCCTTCTGGCCATGGAATCATGGAATTCCAGAGTGGTTTGGGTTTGGGGGGGGAGCGTAAAGCTCATCCGGGTGCCCTGGGCAGGGACAGCGTCCGCTGGAGCAGGGTGCTTCAAGCCCCTGTGTGCAACCTGGCCTTGATGGGATGGGGCAGCCAAACCTTCTCCATTCAGCCCATCCCAGTGTGCCAGCACCCTCACAGGGGAGAGCTTCTCCCTTATCTCCAACCTGAACTCCCCCTGTTCCACTCTGAACCCATCACCCCTTGTCCCATCGCTCCAGTCCCTGATGCAGGTCCCTCTCCAGCATCCTCATAGCCCCCTTCAGCCCCTGGAAGCTGCTCTGAGCTCTCCACGCAGCTTCTCTCCTCCAGCCCCAATGTTCTCCTCCTCGTGGCCTCGCTCCAGCAGCTCCCTGGAGGACCCCAGACCCAGAGCATCCCATGGGGCTCACGTCCTTTTCCCTCCCATCCCACAGGAGAGAAGAAGTTCGCCTGCCCGGAGTGCCCCAAGCGCTTCATGCGCAGCGACCACCTCTCCAAGCACATCAAGACCCACCAGAACAAGAAAGGCGGCGCCGGCAGCGCCGTGGCCATGAACGTCTCCGCCGTCCCCATGGACACGGGGGCCGCGGGCGAGGGCAACGGCGCCGCTGCCCCCTCGGCCCTCATCGCCACCAACATGGTGGCCATGGAAGCCATCTGCCCCGAGGGCATCGCCCGCCTGGCCAGCAGCGGCATCAACGTCATGCAAGTGGCCGACCTCCAGTCCATCAACATCAGCGGCAACGGCTTCTGAGGCGCCGGCGCCGGGACCTGCTGCCGGCGCCCGCGGTATTCCCATGGGATCGCGCCGGCGCCGCTGCCGCACCCGAAGGCCAGAGCTCTCTTCTCTTCTATTTTTTAATTCAGCTTCACCTTATCATTTGTTGGGTTCCCCACCCCCCCCCCCCCAAATTTCACTCCCTGATTTTCCCCCCAGCATTCCCGGGATGCGCTCCCGTAGCTTTAGCCTTCGATGCCATCATGCCTTGGGAAAATATACGATTCTCACCTTAACTTTTTAGGAAAAAAACAAAGGAAAAAAAAAAAAAAAAAAGGAAAGGGAAGAAAAAAAAAAAAAAAAGGACAAAAGGAAAGACAAAAAAAAAAAAAAGCTTCTGAGGAGCCACCCCCCCCACCCCCCCAGAGTCTATATTATTATATATATATAACGTGTAAAGCGGGCTCGCGGGAGAGAGCCGAGGCGCTGCCGCCGCCGGGACCGGGTCTCTTTGATGCCTTATCCCAGGCCAGGCCGAGCCTGGGGGCTGAGCTGCTCCGGGATTCCCTTTTAGAGCAAATCCCTTGGAAAAGGGAACCCCCCCCATTCCCCAATGAGTTTTTGGTACCCCCTGCCCTTGGCTTGTCTCTGCTCTCTGGAGCTGGGTGAGGCTTGGATTCTCTTCCACCCCGTCCCCACCTCTCTTTGTGCCCCCCCCCCTTGGGTTTCCGGATGCGTTTCCAAGCAGCTTCCTTTGGGAAGAGCCTTCTTCCCGCAGCTTTCCTACGGCTCCGCGCAGGGCAGGGAGGGGCTCAGCGGCTCCCAGCCCCAGCTCCGGAGCTTCTCCTCAGGGAAAATGTCTCGTTTTCCTTCATCACCGCTGGATTTCGGAGGAATCAGCCCCAAAACGGGCCGTGGGAGGCGGTGCTTCCCCCCCCCCCAGGATTGGCCTGGAGGGGCCACGGGATGGAAACCAATCCCGTTGGATACGGGGCAGCTCAGGGAAAACCCCTTTGGTTTTCCAGGATCCGGTGTCTCCCACCCCGGTCGCCTTCCTCCCACACCCTCCTCTTCCTGCTCCTCCAGGGCTCTGCCCGCTCCCATCCGGCTGCACACACACATCCCCCCCCCCCCCCCCTCATTCCAGTGGGGATTTGATCTCAGGGTGCTGCACCGGGATTGCATTCCCAAAACACGGCAGCGGTGGGGCCGGGATCCCAACCAACCTTCCTATGGGATCGGAATCCCTGTTCCGAGCAGGGATGCTGGGGTGAGAGGAGCACGACGTGGGGCTGGAGAGGGGGGAGCCAGGGGTAGGAATGACCTGGGATGGGAAAATTGGGTGCTCCAGTTGGGAGCAGCCTTGAGCTCCCAGTGGTGGTGGAGAGGTGGAGGTGGCCCCTGGTGTCCCCATCTCGATGGCTTTGGGTCATGGTGCCACTGCCTTTGCCCATGGGAGAAGCTGGCGTGGAGGTGAGGAGCCCATGGACTGCTCCATGGATCCCAGCCAATGGTGTCTTCCTGCATCCCACCCAACAGCATCTTCCCAATCCGGCTCAATGATACCTTCTTCCATCCATCCCAATGGTGTCTTCCCAGTCCAACCCCATGTTGTCTTCTTCCATTGAACCCAACAGTCTTCCCTGTCCAACTCAATGGCTTCCCCTATCCAACACAGTGGTACCTTCTTCCATCCAACCCAACGGTGTCTTCCCAGTCCAACCCAGTATCTTCCATCCATCCCAACAGTGTCTCCCAATCCAACCCAATGATGTCTTCTTCAGTCAAACTCAACAGTCTTCCCTATCCAACCCAATGGTGTCTTCCCTCATCCCAACCAACAGCTTCCCCCATCTAACCCAATGGGTTCCCCCCTCCAACCCAATGATGCCTTCTTCCATGCAACCCAGTGGTGTCTTCCCAACCTATCCCAGTATCTTCCATCCAACCCAGCAGCGTTTTCCACATCCATCCCACCCAATGCTGCCTTCTCCCATCCAACCCAACAGTGTCTCCCCAATCTGACCCAATGCTGTCTTTTCCCAACCCAGTGGCATCTCCCATCCAACCCAACGGTGTCTTCCCAATCCAACCCAATGGCATCTCCCATCCAACCCAATGGTGTCTTCCCAATCCAACCCAATGCCGTCTTCTCCCAACCCAATGGCATCTCCCATCCAACCCAACAGTGTCTTCCCAATCCAACCCAATGGCATCTCCCATCCAACCCAACAGTGTCTTCCCAATCCAATCCAATGGCATCTCCCATCCAACCCAATGGTGTCTTCCCAATCCAACCCAGTGGCATCTCCCATCCAACCCAATGCCATCTTCTCCCAACCCAATGGCATCTCCCATCCAACCCAACAGTGTCTTCCCGATCCAACCCAATGGCATCTCCCATCCAACCCAATGGTGTCTTCCCAATCCAATCCAATGGCATCTCCCATCCAACCCAATGGTGTCTTCTCCCAACCCAATGGCATCTCCCATCCAACCCAATGGTGTCTTCCCAATCCAAACCAGTGGCATCTCCCATCCAACCCAATGGTGTCTTCCCAATCCAACCCAGTGGCATCTCCCATCCAACCCAACAGTGTCTTCCCAATCCAACCCAATGGCATCTCCCATCCAACCCAATGGTGTCTTCCCAATCCAATCCAATGGCATCTCCCATCCAACCCAATGGTGTCTTCCCAATCCAAACCAGTGGCATCTCCCATCCAACCCAATGCCGTCTTCTCCCAACCCAGTGGCATCTCCCATCCAACCCAACAGTGTCTTCCCAATCCAACCCAATGGCATCTTCCATCCAACCCAATGGTGTCTTCCCAATCCAAACCAGTGGCATCTCCCATCCAACCCAATGCCGTCTTCTCCCAACCCAATGGCATCTCCCATCCAACCCAATGGTGTCTTCCCAATCCAACCCAATGGCATCTCCCATCCAACCCAATGCCGTCTTCTCCCAATCATCTCCCAACCCCCAATGCCATCTTCCCAATCATCTCCCATCCAACCCAACACCCAATGCTGTCTTCTCCCCCAATGCCGTCTTCTCCCAACCCAATGGCATCTCCCATCCAACCCAACAGTGTCTTCCCAATCCAGCCCAATGCCATCTTCTCCCAACCCAATGGCATCTCCCATCCAACCCAACAGTGTCTTCCCAATCCAGCCCAATGGCATCTCCCATCCAACCCAACGGTGCCTTCTCCCCTCCCATCCAGTGGTGTCTTCCCAGTCCCACCCCATGGCCTCTTCCACCCACCCCAACTCTCCATCCTCGTTCCCCTCCTTCCCAGACCCGTTCCGCTCCCTTTCCTTCGGGATAACCCGGAACACCCCCGTGCTGCCGCCACCCCATTCCCATCCCCACAACCACCACCTTGACCTCAAGCATCCCAACCACCTCCCATAGGCTGGAATCCCCTTTTGGAGCCGCGTTACCCCCCCGCCCCGGCTCCGGAGCCCCGGAATGGCACTGGGATTGTCCCATTGGCTCCGGACCTGGCAGTGGAAGTGGGGAGGGGGGGGGGAGGGCATTGAGCTGCCCCCCCCCTCCCTCCCCCCCCCCGTGCTCTCTCCCTCGAGGGATATTTTTGCATTTGTATATTTTTATATAGGAATTGGAGCATTTGTATTTTAATAACCTGTGAAGCACTAACCCCCCCCCCCCCGCCGGGAATTTCAATGGGAAGCAGGGATTTGGGGGGCATTCACCATCAGCCCCCATTCCCCCCCCCCCCCCATTCCAAGCAGGAATCAAGTGCCAAACCCGTGCCCCAGTGAGGTTTTGGGGTGTCCTCGTGTGCCCCCCCCCCCCGGGATGTTCCCATTGGCCCTGATGGAATTGTTTTCCTATGGAAACGTGGATGGGGGGGGGGTTCATTCTGCACCACCCCCATCCTCACCCTGCCCCCCCCCCCCCCAAACACCCCCACCCCCTCCCAGGGTGATGGAGGGGGGGGGACACCCACAAACGTGCCTTGAGATGGGGGTGACAGCAGGGGCCAAGCCCCCCCGTCCCCATTGCCACCCCCCCATGGGGCTGGGGGCAGCACTGGGAACCCCATGGGGTTGGGGTCTATGCAGGGGGGGGGCGATGGGGGGGTCCTGCCCCCCCCGCACTGGCAATAATTCATTACTCTTATCAAGACTCTTGGGTCTGTGATTGCGGGGGGGGGGGCATGGCTGGGAACACCCAAAAGGCGATTTTTGGGGGCAGATGGGGGGGATTTGGGGCTGGTTTTGGTCCCAAAGTGCTATTTTTTTGTACAAAGGATGAAATTGGGGGGGGGGGGGGGTCGGGGGGGGCTTTGTAAATGGGGAACAGCGATGGGGGGGGTTTTGTAATAAAGATGAGTCGCTGGCGTGGCCTGGAGGTGTGATGGGGAGACAGGCCTGGGGGGCAGGCACAGTGTGGGGCTATGGGGGGGCAGGCACAGTGTGGGGCTGGGGGGGGCAGACACAGTGTGGGGCTATGGGGGGGACAATATGGGGCTATG